CCCCCCGCTCTGCTGGCCCCGCCAGTCTGCAGCGGTCCCTGTCTCGGCCCACCACGGGGCACGCCCCAGGTGGCTGGTGCTGGGGCGGGGTCTGCGGGCCGCTCACCGGCGCCACTTGGTGGCTCGGCCCGAGGGAGCTGTGCTGGCAGCTGGGCACAGCGCGCCCAGCTGTCGGGAGGAGCCGGCGGCCTTCGCGCCCTGGGACGTGGGGCTCGGCGAGGTGGGGAGCAGAGAGCCCCACGCCGGATGTTTTTTTAATTGGAAATATCTGCTTTCTCTTAAAGTTTTATTTATTTATGCATACAGAACCGGGGTACAGGCCAGAGGTGCAGGGGGGTGAGAGGCCTCACCAGAGACAGAGACAGGCAGAGACAGGCAGAAAACGAAGTCCACTGCTGAGGGGAGCAGCGGGCGGTGGGAGAGGTCTGCCGCGCCCTGTGGCCACCTCCGGGGCAGGCGGGGACCGAACTGCACTGAAGCGGCTGCGGCTGCTTGCAGAGATGCGTCCTGACCCATTGCGCCCCAGAAGGGCCCGGAAGTACCTGCTTTCTTTGTTAAACTTTAAGACGATCGAGTATCTATCCCGAGCACACATGGTATTTGTTGTCAGAAAACTACCAGTGTTTTACAAAGCAAAACCATCCTAATGTGCAAAATGATGTAAAAATAAACTTTGTAATAAAAAAAATAAAAATAAAAATAAAAAAAAAAAAACAAGAAAAACAAAGCAAAACCATCCTGTGTTCCATAAGGCAAGAAAATGGTGTTTAGAGCAGGGAAAGAGAAGCGACGTTTGCTTGAACTGCCAGTGGCGCAGCGTCTGAGAGGCGCGGGGGCGGGCGGGCGCCACGCCAGGCAGTCACGGCCGCCCCCGGACACGGTGGAGGCCCCAGGACGGCGCTGCCTGGAGCTGCCCGGAGGAGGGTCACTGGGGCTGCTCTGCAGACAAGACGCAGCCACTGGGAGGCGGTGCCCCACTGCCACGTGATGGGGGGCTGGGGACAGGAGGAGGCCGCGGGAGCTAGCCCTGAAGGTCACGGCCAAAGCCGTCACCTGCCGTTACTGTCTCCTGTGCCCTGACCGAGCCCGCTAACCCCTCAGCCGCTGGGACCCGAGGAGGCGTGGGCACCTGTGGGTGCCGAGCCGGCTGACGGGGCCCCCGGGGCACAGCCTTGCCCGTGGAGGCCGCTGGGCGAGAACGGCGGCCCGGCTCCCAGCGGCCCAGCCCGGCAAAGGCCTGGTTCACCCTGTAAATGTGGCCCAGCCCAGCCACACAGATGGGCGCAGCGACAGCCACTGCCCTCCCCTGCCCTGGCTGCAGCACGGACAGGGCAGGGAGCCCCCGCTCTGACAGGACCTTGCCCAGGAGCAGGGAAGGTGGCCTGCAGGCCTGTGATGCTGCGTCCATCCTGGCTAGGGGAGGCCAGAGCCAGGAGATTGAGGGGTCTGAGAGGGCTGAGAGGGCGCTGGCCGGGAGGAAGTAGAAAGAGCAGGTCAGCCGGTGGGCCGGAGAGGGGTTGGTGCTAGAAGAGGTGGTTTGAGCCACCTGGGAAACGTGGTCCCCGTATGGGCTTGAAGGACCAGTCCTGAGGGTCTCAGGAGGCTGTGTGGACAGGGCTGTCTCCAGCCATGCAGGGCCTGGAGGTCCTGCTGACCCCCGTGTCTGTGCTTCTCGCCCACAGGCCCATCCACCCAGCGGCAGGTGCAGAATGGCCCCTCTCCTGATGAGATGGACATGCAGAGAAGGTAGGACGCAGCCAGGCCTGGACTCTGGGGATCGAGGGACACTCTGGGACTCGGGGACAGGCTTGTCCAAAAGAGAAAAGGGAGCTCATTCGCGCGGGGCCTGGGGTTGCCCACAGAGCGGGGTCCTGAGCGCCACCCCCTTGCTCAGCCCCACCCCTGCGGCATGAGGACTTCCCAGCCCTCAGCAACAAGGCCACACCCAGACCCACTGCGGGCCGCCACACCACCCGTGCGCCCAGCCCTGAGGCCGGGCCTGGGCACCAGCCCGCCAGCCACCCGCGCGCCCAGCCCTGAGGCCGGGCCTGGGCACCAGCCCTGCCTTCCTCGTCCCAGACGCCTGGGCCCGAGGATTCAGCCTCCCGCCAGGCTTTGAGCGGGTCCCTGTGTGTGCGGCCACATGGGGTCTGGGCCGGCAGCCGCCCTCCCAGGAGCTTCTGCAGGAGGGGTGGGCTGGAAGGGGCCCAGCTCTGTGTTCCGAGCGACTGGCCCAAAGGATCCAGCAGTGGGGCGGGGGCAGAATCAGGACTGGCAGCCAGGCCTGGCGCAGCGCGGCCCTCGGCCAGGTCCCTGGCCCACCTCCACCGGGCGCCCCATCAGACCCCAGGAAGAAATCCACGGGGACTGTGACCAGGAAGAAATCCACGGTCACTCTCCCAGAGCCGGCAGGCCCCAGGCTGCCTTCTCTGAACCACCACCCAGTCCTGGTGCCCAAGGCCTGGCCCAGAGTCAGGTCCCTTTTGCCCACAGGCAAGTCGAAGACCGCAGCCAGAGCGGCCCCTGGTGGTCAGCATGTGACCTGCAGGCGCCCCTAGGCCTCCTGCCCGGCCCACAGGAGCCCCAGGACAGCAGTGGGCTGTCCCACCAGTGAGATGGTGTAGTGACACGGGTCACTCTGTTATTGGAGACACCAGGCATAATCCTTTCAGGAGCCCCAAGACACAGGAGCTGGCACACTGGTTTACAGAGAGAGGCTGAGGCCCAGAGAGGGCAGTGACAGGCGGGCTGGAACCGGCCAGCAGCGGCCTGAGAGCGCTCGGCGCTGCACAGCTCTTTGGCGGGTCCCCTCTGCTCATAGAAAGAAAGGGGACACGACGCCCAGGGGACATTCCAGCCTCTCGCACTAGCAACTGGCTCCAGCCAGATGCTCCAGGCCCTGACCTGCCTGGGGCTAGCGCTGCTCCCAGCCTCCCCCAAGACTAGAGGAGGCTCAGCACCCCGTGACCCGAGCACCTTCGGGGCCACAGAGAGCCGCTGCCCACCAGCTGAAGCCTTGCCGCCCGGACCCACGTGGCCCTCCCCTCTGCCCAGATGCTTTGGGTATGTCCCTGGGCTGGTGTCCTCACCCGACCTGGCTGACAGAGCACCCCAAGGCCACTCTGCCCTGGGAACCAGGCTGGGTACCCACAAGGCCCATACCCTGCGCTGCAGCCTGCCCAGGGTCCGGTAGGCGGCGGCCGGGTCTGCATAAAAGGCGACGGGGCCTTGCAGCCGCAGAGTCCTCCCGGTGACCGGCTGCCGCCGAGCGTCCTCCCAGGCAGAGCACAGGCGGTCCTGAGCCGCAGGCCTGAGCAGCTGCCCCACCCGGCCTCGGGGAAGGCTGGGTCGCCCGAGGTGGTGGCTGGGCTCCCCGGGGCCCCCTGTGCAGGGCACAGCCCCTAGGGCTGCCGCACTCCCCCACCAGGGGGCGGGGTGCAGCCGGGCGCCCCACCTCCGCTGAGTGGGACAGCTCGCCCAGGCGGGACGGGAGCCGCACCCAGCTGGCTCTCAGCGCGCAGGTGAAACCCAAGTCCGCGCCTGGACACCGACACCCTCGTTCCGTCAGAGCAGCCCTGCTCTTGTTGCTTTTGCAGACAAGTGATGGAGCAGCAGCGCCAGGAGTCTCTCGAGAGAAGAACCTCAGCCACAGGTGAGCACCCTCCCAGGCAGCGCCACCGCGTGCCTGGGGACCCCGGGGCACCGCAGCCCTCTGAGGACGCTGCTGGGTCCCGCTCTCCGGGGCGGTCACGGCAGGTGGAAGTGAGAGAAGAGGACTGAGCAGAGTGGGCAGCCCCGCCCCGTCCCCTCGGGGCAGCCCCGCCCTGTCCCCTCGGCTCCAGGCAAGGGCCGCCTCGGGGCTGGGTCACAGCGGAGCCGCGCCAGGGAGCCCAGTGTCCCGGCAGAGGCACGTAGGAGGCCCACGGGGTCCGCTGTGAGAGGTCTCGGGAGCCTGGCCGAGCTGGCCCTGACCTCAGCCCGCGGCGGGAGGGAGGGAGCCACCGCGTGGCCACGGAGGACAGGCTTCCCGGCCGGGGAAGGCCCCTCCCGCACGCCCTGCGAGGCAGGCTGGCGACGGCGTCCTGTGGCAGGCGAGAGCACGGACCCCGCCAGCCCTGGGCCGCTGTGCGCCGCCAGGCCGCGCCTGCATCCTGCACTCTGCACCCGCGCTGCCCTCGGCCTCTCAGGCCCTCCGGTCTCCAGGAGAGGCTCCTTCCCTCCTGCCGGCCCCTAGCCTCTGCCTCCGGAGGGGCTTCGGGGTGGCGGGGCCACACCTGGCCCAGTGCAGGACCAGGGCGGCTCCCGATGCCCAGCCAGGCCTGTGCCCAGCCACCCGCCCCAGTCCCCGTGCAGGGTCAGTCACAGATGCCCCTCCAGACCACATCTGCCCACGCTGGGAGGGCGCAGAGGACAGACAGAGCAGACCAAGTGGGCCGCCTGTGCCGGCGAGCACTTCCTCCGCTGGCGTCCCGGTCGGAGCCAAGGAAAGTGGCTCAAGGACTGTCCCCCTAGGCCCAGAGTGCCTGGGGCAGCAGATGAGCGGCTGAGCCGGGCCAGGCGCCCCCCACACACACCCCGGGGGCTCCTGGAACGGCCGGAGCCGCGGGGCCCCGTGCCCAGGGGTTCTGGGACTGACAGGCCCCTGTTGTTGCAGGACCCATCCTCCCGCCCGGCCACCCCTCGTCTG